TAAACTATCGGTGTGTGCGGGACGCGGCGCGACCGCCCCCCTCCCCCACCCGATACACTTTTCACTTTAGCTTCTTTGATCTTTGACCTTTACTGAATAAAAATCGACTATCTTTATAACTTCATCAATAACGTTCACCTTTCCTCTGCTCTAATAGACTTCAACTGCGACGGAACTTCGAGTATCTTCTACAATCAGCACATCATGTATTTCTTCTACCTTTATGTTCCTTTCTTTATCTTCTCGACTATCGGAAACGGAACCTTCGCTTGCTTAACTTTAATCTATACCTGATTTGGTTCCTTTTTTATTAAATTATCCTATCCTCACGATTTCGCGGACTCAACATAAATATTCAATATACATGTAAATAAGCAACAATACTTTCAGATCGTCTATTGAGAATGCTATTCTATTTTCAGAGCGATAAGATTGAAAATATTTTCTCTGGTACTTGTGCACATTCTATTTTCATAGCTTCTGTATGGGATCAGTTCAGAGCCCCCTCTTCTGCTCGCGATCACGTGCGATGGGCGCCGCTTGTCTGGGCCTCCGACCCGTCCGTCGTAATTCAATACTTCACCTTGTCTATCGTTAAGGTATTCTCACCGTGTACGTGTGTCTAGTCTAGGTTTACGGTATATTACGCGATAGCTCTATACGTGCATGGCATTTCTAGATAAACTGTTATTCGTAGTTGTTCGAAGTAAACAATAATAGTTATAAGTCCGGACCCTTCGGCTCTGCTCTGCAACGACCAATATGTCGCCTCTATCGTTCATAACTCCTATATCCCTGTCTATGTAAGCTAACTCTATGTACCGCTGCCCTAGAAACTTTCTCTCTTCGACTCTTTCAATCTATCAGTAGTTGAACTTCGATCTTCGTTGTTGATTCTCACGTAGCTATAGTGAATTAGAAAATTATTTTGGTACGTAGCAAGAGTTAGGTATAGCGTTAAAATTTCAATGTTAAATCTGCTAATTGTCACTAATTTAAAAACCTAATCTTGTTTCTTGTATTTCATTGTGTGCATGCGTTTATATTTAAGTATAAGGTAGCTCTTGCGAGTGTTTGGTGTCGTTCTCTCGATTAGTCTTAACTCGATATGTAAAGCGCTTTATCGAGTTTCTTGTATGTAAGCTTTCAGTGTTTCTTGTATAGTTAAAGTATTTAGGTAAATGATTGCTTAACTGCGCGATTCGTAACGGAATTTGGGTGATATCAAATTGCTGCCACGATTAACAATAAACTCCTATAATTTGCTTCTCTTGGCAATCAACCTCCTCACTCAGAGTTAAGCTATCGGTACTTTAAATATTTTCATCTAGTAATCAAACCAAGTTCTAAATCAGATTTTGATTTATTTACATTTAAATTTATAGTGAATTTATAAAGAGGTTTATACAAGGTAGATCTGTAGTATAGTATATAATAAATAAGTGCAAATATTTATCTTATATCCACAGCAGTAGAGTTAGCAAAATTCTTAAGGGACTCGCGACCAATTTCTGAATTTCAAAAGCAACAGTTGATTGACAAATCTTATGACTTTCGTACTCAGGGTAAATGAAATATTGTAATTACTGTTATTTATTATCTATGTTCAGTTAGATCAAATAGTTTCATTTCGCTGTCCTGCATAATTTTTCTTCAACCTCTCTTTCGTACATTTAAATGTTGTTCTTGTTGATAAGTGGAATGTTTAGCTTGTATTATCTATCGTATGTTGGAGTCACTAAACACTAAAAGCAATTGTTAGACATCGAGAAATGTAATTAGTGGTAATCGTATAAAACCGACTTTAAATATCGGTAAGGCGTTGTTAGGAAGTACTTTGTTATGAAGGGTCTGTTTGCACTGAGTATTTAATAGATTTACACTGATTAAATTAATTTACAATAAGAAAATTATTATTATTAAAAAAAACAACATATATCACAACAGACTAGTTAAACTTAAAAAATTAGAACAATATTAAGAACCTATGAAGTTTCTGGACTTTTTGGTAGTATGTACAACTAAGAAATTCTATAACTCGAGAGTAATGAAATAAAAGCAATAGTAAATTCCACATAGACTGTCAATCACAACGAAATTAAATACAACAATAATTGAAAAGGAAATTTATTATTTTATACACCAGTAACTGCACAGATTATTAAATAAACAACAGATAAGTTATAGGTTAGGTGAAACTGCACAGATAACTAAAACCGTACATGCAACCATAGACAAATGTCAGAGACGACACAAACCACACACAAGAGCTTCATTACACTAAATAACGCCATTTAATGTATTTTAGATGTTTTTTTCTTCAATCATAGTGTGGAAAGATCTTTATAAAAGAACTGAAAAAAAAGTGCCACAGAATACCGATAAATTTTGCTCTTTTTGGAATAATTTTTACGTATCTCCCACACTATGTTTGAATTTCTATTAATTTAAAAAGTACGCCGTTTTAATACTGTATGTTGGCGGTCGGGGATGGAAAAATTGTATGTTTCACTATAATTGTGTACTTTTTCGCAAAGATCCCCGGCCGAGTTGTTTCACTAGGGTAGTGAAATACATTTTGTTGTTAGCTTTTAATATTAGTGACATCTAGTGTTAAAAATTGCAAGTTTACTGAAATTTAATCGAACGTGTAAAACAATTTTGAAAAAAAAAACATGAATAAACTATGAACGTGGTTCATGTATTGTTGTAAAGGTTAGTAGTTAACACATGTTTACTTTAACTTAGTGTAACGAATGAGAAACGAAAGAGGTTATTGTTGAAAATGTTTTTAGGTAATTAAATCAGATTGAGCTTTTGTGAAACCTTGTTATTGATGGTTAAGTGTTCGGTTCGCGGTAATTCCGGCTGTCTGAGAACTGCCATACGATTATAACGTTTATCTCTATACGTATTAGGTTTGTTTTGTCACCCGTCACTCGTGTAGGTATAAGGTAGGCTTGGCTGCGTATTTGTTTATCTATAATGTTGCAATGCATTGTTAAATTTATTTAATCGTCCCTATTAGTTACGTACAAAAGTTTAGAGGTAGCCATTTTCATATAAACTGCTGTGAATGTGAAAATGGTGTATCTACCATGTTGTTAAATAATAAATAAATTACATTGTACCACCGTTTGTTGTTTTATTTTATCTAATCCTTAACATTAACTGCTTTAATCCTCACAAGCAATAAATTTATAATCTGTAAACGGCGATAGAAACCAGAAATCAGCTGCACTATAGCACCGGCTGACCCTCACTATACCACGACCACACAGAAGAAAGCAAGTGGCCTAATTTTATCCCTTTTTCTCTTTCCAGTCTTTTTATTCGGAAAGTATAGAATTTAATTAGACGAAGGTGAGAAAGAATAGGAAAGGGATTATTTAGTGCGTCCCCTCCTCTGTTGAATAAAAGTGGGCATCTGTTTTTGCGGATGTTGAGGAAGCAGACAATAAAACTAAAGGGAAATCTGTCAAAATAATTATTAGATATAAATTGTATACGTAGAATTTTATTTATAACTTAGCTTTATATTTACAATCAGTCATTATTAAAACGTTTCAGAAACAAAAGTACACTTTATTTGTAAGAAATATTAGTCCAAGACAGTTAAAACGCTCCAAAATTTGTTTATTTTTTTGTTAAAATCTACTAACATGTTAACAATATCTTCGAAAGTGAACCTCAGCAGTCCGGAATTTGCTTTCTCACTGATGTTTATAACAGCGCCATCTTCTGACAATTTAGTTTTCAGAGTTATTTCATTAAGTTCTAAATCATCATTTTCATTATTAATTTTTAATGGAAAATGTAAACTCCCTTTCAATTTATTATCTACAGGTAAATAATTATCATCAGAATCTATTTCATTTTCTATACTCTTGTATAAATATTTTTTCTCTTTTCTAAAACTTTCAGTATTGCCTTTTACAATTTCGTCATTAATGCTCCGCCTTTTCCTGTTTCCACTTTCTTCGTTCAATTCGTCATATTCATTAGATTGTATTTTATTAGATCGTTTTATATTCTTTCTATTAAACCTGCTTTTGTTCATTTTTGATAACTTTTCATTCTTAAATGCAATCAATTTCTCCAATAAATTTGATTTAAAATCGAATCTATCACGTTCATTTCTAAAATACTTCGATTTTACCCCCTTTCTAATACTTTTTTGTAAATTTTCTTTGTAATCTGTTTGTCGTTTGAATCTAATTGGAAAATCTTTGTTGTCTTTTTTAGTAGTCAAATATTCATGAAAGTTTTTCAATTCGTTATTCAAGTTGTTAATCTGTTTCCGTAAGTTATTGTTATTGTTTACTTCGAAGTCTGTAGTTAAGTACTCATCAGAAACATCAAGTGATTTATCTAAATCTAAATTGCGTTTATTTCTTAATGATCTTTGAGATTTTCCATTTTCCTCTTCAACTAATATATCTTCAGTTATTTTAGATTCGTTGTATTCTTTATAAATACAAGCCTCCACTTTTGTATTCGCTAGTACCCAAAAGCCGAAAGATTTCGGTGGGAGATTGATTAAAAGTGATTTATAAGGTCATACACGTTTGACCACAGGACGAATATCGCCTTGCAAATACATTGCTCTCCCATTCACTACAATATTCCTGTTTCAACGAAAAAAAAGTTATGAAATCGCTTATTAAAAGTATTAAAATATTCCATTTCTACTTACCCGTTAGTATCCAGGTTGAATATAAACTGCATGATGTCCCCACCGTCTTCTTTTTTAGATAATTTAAGTGAGAATCTCGCAGGTTCGTCATCCATGTTCGCTCCGTACAGAGTGAGTGCGGCGGG